GAATTTAGATTTTAGTTACAACAAGTTGACAGGGTCTATTCTAGAAGACCTTTTGTCATTTACAAATTTGCAGACGGTGGATTTGTCTTATAATTTGCTAGAGGGTTCAATACCTGATAAAATGTCTCCAAGCTTGGTCAGGTTGAGATTGGGAAGCAATTCACTCAATGGTGTGATACCTTCGGTGAATTTTGCAACTCTGGAAAAATTGACTTGCTTGGAGCTGGACAACAATAGCTTCACTGGAATGATACCTCCAGAATTGGGTGATTGCCAAACTTTGACGCAGTTAAACTTGGTCAGAATAAACTGAATGGTTCATTGCCGGCACAATTGGGTAATCTCAGAAGTTTTCAAGTTATGAAGCTTCAACTCAACAACCTGAGTGGAGACATCCCTATTCAGTTTTCCCTGCTAAAGAATTTGTCTCAATTAAACATTAGCTGGAATTCGTTGACTGGTTTAATAACTGCTTCCTTTTCCAACTTGCAAGAGCTTACAAACTTGAACTTACAACACAACTGTCTCAGTGGTTCCATACCTGACTCTATCAGGAACATGAATTCTTTGACAGAACTCCAACTTGGAGAAAATCAGCTAAGTGGCCGAATTCCATCGTTGCCAGTGAAATTGCAGATTGCTTTGAATCTGAGCAGCAATCTCTTTGAAGGATCTATCCCACACAGCCTTTCTAGCCAAAGATTCCTGTTTTTTTTTCACTCAAATGCCAACCCTGACGCAGTTAATTCTTTCTAATAATCAGTTGTCAGGAATTGTTCCTAAGTTTACCCTCTTTGTTTCGGTCAATATAAGTGGAAATCCGAACCTCATACCTGCACCAAACACTTTCCCGGAACTGGCAAAGAAAAAAATGCCAGTTGCTGTTTCAATAATTACTGCCCTTGCCGCTGGTGTCCTTGCCGCTAGGGTAATCATATTCATTTATCTATCAATTCCAAGATGTTTCTACTTTTCTTGGATCATCCTGAGCAATTTTCTGACGGAAAATGAAATCCACAAATCAAATATTTCCTTCACCAAAGCCATGGAAACAATAGCTAATCCATTGAACATTTTCCTGAAAACTAAGTTCTCAACCTATTACAAATCCATCATGCCATCCGGAAAGAGCTACTTCATTAAGAAGCTGAACCGGAGTGATAAGTAATCTTCACATCAAATTTGGATAGATAATAAAAGCCCATTTCAACTTGGGATAACCAGTATTTGTACATACAGGTTACGTTGAAGCCTGAGGCCCCTGGTGATTTTGGTCCCAACAGTATAGGTTTGCTTTTACCCTTTTGTCTGTGTAACTACTTGGTTTAAGTGAGGGATAAAGTGGCAGGGACAAGTTCAAGGTTCTGTATGGTTGAAAACAAAACAACAAGACACTTAACGTATTTCTCTCTTTGTTCAATATTTTCTTTGTATTCTCCAGCAAAACTAACAAGACCCTTGTTCTTTACTTGATAAAAGTCAGGGTGTGTGGTTGTTTGTTAGTTCAAAAGTATGGCTGGTCAAAAGTCCACAAAAATTAAGTATAAGAAAAGTAATACAGCTACTGTCAGTCAAGTCTTTTGAACTCTGTTTTGTAGTATCAAAGTCTCTCCAGCCTAAAAATTCCACTCCCAACAAAATTTTTGAAAAATTTCCCACAGAAGAATCAACCAAACCAATACTTCTTTGTCTCCTCCTCACTTGAAACTAAACTAACTCAGCAAAATTAAACAAATATTCATATTCTCTTCTGGCCCATCAGCTCAAATGAGGCACCATATGCATGGCACCACAACCTCTTTGTTCTTTTGTTTCTTCATTTTACTACACCCTTTAGCATTCTCTCAACTACCATCTGACCAAACAACCACCATGATCACTCTCTCTCAGCAACTTAACAATTCAACTTTAGTATGGGATGTTGCAAAACAGCCAAACCCATGTTTGTGGAAGGGAGCTACTTTCAGTAAGAGTTCCTTGATAACGCAACTTTCTTTATCTGGGTTTGCACTCTCTACATATAATTTGCCTGTTGTTTGTGAGATTAGTTCTTTGCATTCACTTGATCTTTAACAGCTCTTTGAGTTCAATTTCTGAGTTCAAAGACTGTGGAGGGGGATTCATGGGCTAAAGTCATTGAATTTGAGCAAGAATTGGTTGTCTGGTAATTTAACTAGCTTTTATAGTTTTGTCGGATTAGAGTTCTTGGATTTATCTTACAATAGTAGACTGACTGGAGACATTAGTTTACTGTTGGATGAATTAGTTAATCTCAAAAGTTTGAATCTTAGTCACACTTGTTTTGAAGGTTCTATTCCTAGCCACCTTGGAAAATCTAAGGCTTTAGAGCAACTTGTGTTTATGGAAATCTCTTTTATGTGAAATACTGAAAAAATTGCAGATTATGGAATTGACCTTTGTTGACTTTAGTGTCAATTATCTTTGGGGTCTATCCAATAGAATTGGAGAACTCACAAACCTGGAAGTTCTAATTCTCTCTGAGAATAATTTAAATGGTGGAATTCCAACAAACCTTTCCAGTATATTAACCCGTCGCGTTTTGCAGCCAGTCAAAACAATTTTAGTGGTTCATTCCTGGTGGACTCACAAGATATGTGAAGAATTTAGATTTTAGTTACAACAAGTTGACAGGGTCTATTCTAGAAGACCTTTGTCATTTACAAATTTGAGACGGTGGTTTGTCTTATATTTGCAGAGGGTTCAATACCTGATAAATGTCTCCAAGCTTGGTCAGTTGAGATTGGGAAGATTCACTCAATGGTGTGATACCTTCGGTGAATTTTGCAACTCTGGAAAATGACTTGCTTGGAGCTGGACAATAGCTTCACTGGAATGATACCTCCAGAATTGGGTGATTGCCAAACTTTGACGCAGTTAAACTGGTCAGAATAAACTGAATGGTTCATTGCCGGCACAATTGGGTAATCTCAGAAGTTTTCAAGTTAGAGCTTCAACTCAACACCTGAGTGGAGACATCCCTATTCGTTTTCCCTGCTAAAGAATTTGTCTAAAAACATTAGCTGGAATCGTTGACTGGTTAATAAATGCTTCCTTTTCCAATTGCAAGAGTTACAAACTGAACTTACAACACAACTGTCTCAGTGGTCCTACCTGACTCTATCAGGAAATGAATTCTTTGCAGAACTCCAATTGGGAAAAATCAGCTAAGGGCCGATTCCACGTTGCCAGTGAGGAGATTGCTTTGAATCTGAGCAGCAATCTCTTTGAAGGATCTATCCCACAGCCTTTCTAGCCAAGATTCCTGTTTTTTTCACTCAAATGCCACCCTGACGCAGTTATTCTTTCTAATAACAGGTAGGAATTGTTCCTAAGTTTACCCTCTTTGTTTCGGTCAATATAAGTGGAAATCCGAACCTCATACCGCACCAAACACTTTCCGGAACTGGCAAAGAAAAAAATGCCAGTTGCGTTTCAATAATACTGCCCTTGCCGCTGGTGTCCTTGCCGCTAGGGTAAATATCATTTATCTATCAATTCCAAGATGTTTCTACTTTCTTGGATCATCCTGAGCAATTCTGACGGAAAATGAATCCACAAATCAAATATTTCCTTCACCAAAGCCATGGAAACAATAGCTAATCCATTGACTTTTCCTGAAAACTAAGTTCTCAACTATAACAATCCATACTGCATCGGAAAGAGCTACTTCATTAAGAAGCGAACCGGAGTGATAAGAATTCCAGAATGAGAAATTCGGCAGAGCTAGGATATAGGGAAGCTGAACCATTCAAATGTCATGACTCTTTGGCTTTGCATTGACTAAGGACAGGGGTATCATTTATGAATATGCCCAAACATGACCCTTTTCGACATTCTTCACAGTAGCAATGGAAGTAGTATGGATTGGGAAAGCCGTTACAGTGTAGCAGTAGGATAGCCAGGGTCTTGCTTTTGAATGGATGCACCTCTGGTCCAATCTCCTCCTGATTTCAAGTATAAAACTTATGCTTAAGTCACTGAAAGAGCCACAACTTGGAGGACATTGAACTCTGCAAAGTGATTGACCCTCAAAGAGGACTGGAGTCTTTCTACGGTTGCTGGCTTGTGGTATTATCCTCCAGGTAAACTCTCTCTCTTGCTTTGTAGGTAAAGAATTGCTCAAACCAGGTATAGATTTTACATTTACGAAAATTCTAGGCACATGGCTATCATATACATTTTGTACGCATGTACATTTGATGCATAATTTAGCACATAACCTACGATTTAGAAATCCTAAACCCGTCTCAAATCTGAAAAAGGTAATAGGCATATTAGCATCACCTTCAGGATACTACCATTGGATCTCATTACTCAGATCTTTCATCATTCATTAATCTGCAATCAGATAGATTCAATTTTCTGTTTTAGCTTTCTAAGGTCTGTTATGAGAATAATTGCAGAGTATGGCCTACACGTGAGAGTAACAGCGGTTGGGAACGTTTAAGCTTGGAGTTATTCTCCTGGAGTTGCTGACCAGAAGGACTTCCAATTAGCGAGGGTACTGAGTTAGCCAAGTTGGTGTTACACAACTGGGAACATGAAGATAAAAGGGATGAGATATTTGATGTTAATATCTACGCAATTTCACTTGCTATCAAAAACCAGATGCTTGCAGTCCTTGAGGTTGCTATTGCTTGTGTTAGTGTCTTACCAGAAGGAAGGCCAAAGATGAATGTTGTGCTACAGATGCTACAAAATGCGAACACATTAACATAAACCCAACTTTGCCTACTGAACATTAATTGAATCAGTTTTAGAAGCATATTGTAGAACTTTTCATTGTAGCTTTGTATTTTGTGCAAGAGTCTTCTTGTAGAAAAGGTTATATATTTATGAATCTCCCTTTTTTGATTGTTCTGATTGTCTTAATTTCGTCTCAATTTATTTCCCTATTGTCCATCCTCAAATAATAATAATAATAAAGAAAAAGTTAATTATCTGATAACGCATTATAACGTATAAATTAACACAATCAAAACTCTCAAACAAACAACATAAACACAATGCAGCATTGACAGCAAAGCCTTGGCTCAACAGAATCTTGATCAATGAAACTCACTCAAAATCTTCATTCTTATATATAGGATGGACTCCAACCCCTTTCACTCGGCAATTTGATGATGAAATTTGGAAATTGGGACTATTAAATCATTTGATTTTCTCATCAGGGAAATAGAGTAGCCAAAGATGATCTGACTTAGGCACGCGCAAGCCAACTTCATAATCAACCTCTACAACATAACCGTTCTTCCTTGGATCGTTATCGAACACATCACAGACAGCAACATTTATGCCAGAACGACCACCAATATTAGCAAAAGACATATTATTGTCAAAAAATCTAGAGCACATAACATATCCCACCAAGTACTTGCTATTATTATTGTTCAAATCTGGCGGCTTTTCTATTTTTATTAAATTACCGTCACTCTTATGCTTGAACCACTCTGGAACTTCACTTCCTGGAACAACCATGCTAAATCTATTACTTTGATTTGCCTGTACCCAAAATAAAACAAAGCTCCTGTGAGATAGGAAAAAATAGACATGTTGCATAATGTAAATACAAGGAAATGGCAGAAAGGAAATGTAATAATAATAGTAATAATAAAAGCATAATCATGACCATATATATATGTAAATAAAATTAGACAGATAATACAAGATCTTTAAAAGTTTGGGAAACGTCTTATAGAAAGAGAATCTAATTCGAAAAAGAGAGAGAAAGTGACATGCCTTGAGGTGTTCCTTCATAATTGAAAATGCCTCACCACCACCATTGAGTTTCAAGAAACAGTGACATGAAATTTCTGACAAATTCGAATTGCATAATCTTAATGCATTAGATAATCTTTCCAGGGAAATGCAACTGTTTACTTTAAGTTTGCGAACATCGGAAGGAAGTTTTGGCAGAATTTGAAGCCTCGCGCAATAGTTCAACCCAAGAACTCTAAGGTTAGAAAGACGATTGATGCTACCAGGTAAAGAAACAAAATTGTTTTGGCTTAGATCTAAAACCATCAATGAGATGAAGCTTCCAAGCAAATCACTAGTTATTGCTCCTTCCCCAAGATTACAATCACTAAGATCCAACTTTGTAAGATAACACAAATTAGATGGCGAAGAAGGCAATATCAAAGTCATGGGATTTGAACTTTTCTTAAAAAATGATTTTGATGGTGATCCTTTGCATCCCCAAAATTCTAATTCTGAAAGATTCTTCATAGAAAAAAGGGATGACACTTGTCTTATGGCAGTTTTATGTAATCTGAGAATACGCAAAGTTTCTATTTGCCCCAAAGTATCTGGCAGACTTTCAAGTTTGGAGCAATCAGAGAGATTGAGAATATAAAGAGATTCCAAACCATTTATTGTATTTGGGAGACTCACAAGTTCAAAGCAATGACTGAGGACTAGAAATTGAAGAGATTTCAAGCCATCTATAGTACTTGGAAGACTCACAAGTCTCGAACAATAAGAGAGAGACAAGGTTGAAAGAGATTTCAAGCCATTTATAGTACTTGGAAGACTCGAAAGATTTTTGCATCTTTCCAATTTCAAGTATACAAGTCCAGATAGAAGCTCAACAGACAGAGGCAATTCTTCAATGGCAGTTTCATTTAAAGAAAGCTCAAAGAGGCACTCCATACTTCCTATAATCTCTGGAAACCTCTCCAATTTTGAGCAACCAGAAAAGCACAAGACTTTCAAGAGATTCCATATGAATCTTGTTTGGAAGAGTTTTGAGACTTGAACAATGTCCTAGATCCATCCGTTTAATCTTTTTATGAGCTAGTAAAGATGGGTGAATCTCACACAATCTTGAACATCCTCTGAGAATCAAATCTTCAACATTTGGGATCTCTGTGAAGTCTGGTGTTTTGATCAGGCTCTTGCAGTTTATGAAACTCATAGATTTCAACATGTATAAAGGCTGTTGAAATTGAAGGGGAAAAAAAAACGCATTTCTTAAGTTAATTACCACATTAATTAAATGATGAATGCATAAAGATATTCAACAATTATTAACTAAAAAAAATTAAAAAAAAAAAGTGTAAGTGAATTATCTTACTTTGTTCCCCTTCCATAGTTGTCTGATGCGGCTACCGTCCATTTTAAGTTCAACAAGTTTATTTAATTGAAGATCTGATGGCAATGATTTTAAAGGGTATCCATGCCAATCGAGTAATCTTAACTCATTGGAAAGATACTCAAGACCTTCGGGAAGTTGTACTCTACGAATCTTGAGTAATCTTAGGTTGACCATCTTTGAAAAGGCTTTAGCACTTGCAGTACTTGCACTTACATTGAACTTTTTTCCAAGTATTATGCATTCAACTAGCTCAGTCCCCTAAAAAATTGAGATAAAAAATATAAGTGACAAACAAAATTGGAGACAAAGATAAAAGAACATATACATATACATATAATTGGTTAAAAATTGAAGGAAAAAAACAAAAAAATCTTTCCCACCAGGTGTATACCTTGTTCTTTGTTAGCACATGACGAATGTCCTCCTCATCCCATAATCTACTGCGTTTTCCAGACTCTTCTATGGATTCTCTCTTAACAATTTGTCTACCCATTTCTTGTAACAAATCATGCATCCATAGTTCATTGAAATTTGAAATAGTTATAAGAGATTTTTCAAGGAGAACACTTAATCCAATAGTTGGGTTAAAACCACAACCATCCAAAATTCTTGTTACATATTCTCTCTCCTCTCCTTTAAAAAAACATGCAACATCAAGAAATATTTTCTTCTCCGTTTCTTGCAAACCATCAAAACTTATTTGAAGTATATCCAAAATCTCCTTATTAGAATCTCTTTTGAGTCTTTTTAGTGCGTCAATCCATTCATCTATAGTTCTACCAAACAAAAATGAACCCAAAACTTTGAGAGCTAATGGAAGACAACTAGCATACCTTACAACATGTTGGGACAACTCCAAATAGTCTTCTGAAGGCTGTTGGTTTTCAAAGGCTTTCGAGATAAGGAGTTCAAGAGCTTCATCACAATTCAGTTCTTTAGCTTCATAAACTTCATCAACCTTGTGAGTCATCAACAAATGTTTATCTCTTGTTGTTATTATGATCCTACTTCCTAAACCAAACCATTCACGTTTTCCAACTAAATTGTTTAGTTGGTCAATATGATCCACATCATCTACAACAACAAGAACTTTTTTGTGACGCAACTTTCTATTTATCTCATTAATTCCATCATACTCATCGCATATGTTATTATCTCTTCCCCTTAGAATTTTCAAAAGAAGTTGCCTTTGTAAAGTAACCAGGCCACTTTTTCTTGAAATTTCCCTGACATTGGCAAGAAAAGCACTCCCTTCAAATTGATATGAAAACAAGTCATGAAAAACTTTTACAGTTGTCGTCTTGCCTATCCCTCCCATTTCACATATCCCTATCATGCGAATATCGTTAGATCCTGTACCTATCAACAACTTAAATTCCTCAAGGCGAGAATTTATTCCTACTAGGCCCTCAGAAGTCATCAATGTTGTTAAACTTAATTTAATTGATATTTCTTTGACAATATCTTGTATGAACTCTGATTCAGGTCTGCAAATGAAAAAGAACAATTGATAGTAGTGATCAATTTATGACAAAAAATTACTATATAAGTTTACAAGTACCAAGAATTCTTCTGTTTTCTTTTGATAGTTTACTCTGAATTTTAGTCTTTATCATATTATACACGGTCAGCTATTTAATGTAGGACATCTCTTAAACTTTGAATTCAGTAAATATAAGGACATGATTGGTAGTTAATAAAAGATATTTTTTAAAGAATAATCAAGCAATCATCATAGTCTAATGAAATTATTGATCTTTTAATAATTGGTTACTTACAGTAAAAAACTTTATGACACATTCATAAAATGTAAAAGAAAAACAATTACCTGTTTTCCACATCCCATCCAGAGAGATTGGCAACCTCTATTAAAGCATTCCTCCATATTTGAATATTTTGTTTATTCCCCTGAAAAGTTTCTTCCTGCTTAGCAAAAGCTTCCTCAAACGTTCCTGTTTGTTTTCTTACCATGGATGGATCAACATCATCAAAAATAGGAAAAACATTTTGTCCCATTGTATTCTTACATTCAACAATCTTAGCAATTTCATGCAAGCACCAAGTGGAATTAGCATAGTTTCTTGAGAAGACGATAATTGAAAATCTTGATCTTTCAATTGCTCGAAGGAGCTCCAAAGAAATGGGTTTTCCTCTGTCAAGTTCTTCGGCATCTCTAAAAACATTAACTCCTTCTCGAGTCAAAGCTGCATATAGATGATCTGTGAAATTCTTCCGAGTATCTTCACCTCTAAAGCTTATAAAGACATCATACTTCCAATTAGAAGAACAAATAGGAGTATCTGAAGAAGAAACTCTTTGGATACTCATGGAAGCAATACGATTGATTGTTCCAAGCTAATTTTGGCCAAGTTACATGTGTCGTCTATGCCTATGTAAGACCCTGATAGAATTGAAAAATATAAGTAACCAATTTCTTCTTGACCATTTATATATTTTTTAGCGGAATATCATTTTTTAAGCAAAAATACATGCCTACCATATAATTTTCAACTCTGATGTTGTATAAAAGCTACTGAGAAATTAAACTTATATGAATACATTATGTTAGCAAGAAATTAAGGATTGAAATTAAAAGCAGATATGCTAAAAAAAAAAAGCCTAACTATATTCTTCTAATTATTCTATTCAACTCTCGAAAATCCTATTTCAGGTGCATAGTTATGCATATACTTACAAAATTAAAATAAAAACAGAACAAACTTACACAATTTTGATGAATGAACTTTGACGTAAAGAGCTTCAAAGAAAGCTAATTGGCTGTGGTTTGATGGGAAGGCACAGAGAACTTTTCTCTGTTATATAAAGAGATGAACTCAAGAAATTTCTCCTCTTTTTCTCTCTTTACAATCCTTACAAAGAGAAAAAATATAGAGCCCTTCCAAGCTGTTTCAGTATAACTTTTTTATTAAAGATCCTACTTCATCTATAAGTACATTTAATCCCTGGGATTTCGATCCCTTCTAAGTCCTACCATTTAGAAAACTGGTATATACCCCCCAATTCTAACTGACGTTAAATGGAGTAAGGGCAAAACAGGTAGTTCACTTACATATATTATATTTATAAGAAAATAAATATTAATTAAAACCTAAAAGAAAAGCCTAACCATCAAAACCTTTACTTTCCAGATTCCACTGTTTAAAGGCGACATCACGGCGGAGAAAGCGAGCCCCTTCCGAAACCTCACGCTCCATTTTCATGTTTCTCTCTTCATAGTAAACCGATCCGGTGGTGCTCGCGGCTGCTCGGGGTTGGTGCTCCCAACTTGGGTTTGATTTTAACTTCTTCGTTTTGATTTGATTGGTTCTTCCTTCAAACTACCGCACATCTTCTTTTTTTTTTCCACCAAGTTGACCATCGGTTGAATTGGTGATGGCGTTCAATCTACTGGCGTTGTATGGGTTCTTTTGTCGGTGAAAAATCTTATTTGTGCCATATAAATTGGTTGTGAAAGATTGGTCTATCTTGTGAAGATTGGTTTCTATCTTGTGAAGATTGGTTTCAGAAATTCTGTAATGGTGGTGGCCGCGCTCAGTATGTCACGGTGGTGGTGACTGGTGGTGGCCCTGCAATTCGTGTAACAATTGGACGGATTTTCATTAATATACAGTTTCAGAAATTCGGTGAGGTCAAAGATAAGTCAACCCCAGTATAAGGATATTTTCGTCTTTGTGTAGAAAATGTTACCTCAAGAGTTAAAATTTCGTTAACGACGTTAATTCCTAATGTAATTGTAAATGTAACAACATAATCATGACGAACAAACCGAGGGTTATATTGTAAATTACAAAACTTTTGGAGTTGTAAAGAAGTTTCATGTTGTGTCACATCTTTTAAGTTTTCCTTTTTCTCAATTTCAATTCATTCTCTTTGAAGATTCCTTAATGTAAAAAGATGTTCAATCTAATCCACCTAATTCTAATTTAATGACATTATTTAGTTTGACTTCATTAATTTCCAACACTTCTTGATGAAGGATCAAATCATCTCTTTCATTTTATTTGTGTAATATGTTGAATTACTATTGTTTTACTAATTTATGTTATAATAGGATACTTAGTGGAAATTTCAAAAGAGGTAACAATAGCCACTCTTCTTCATTCTCAAATTTTGTCAACAAGAAAGTCATTTCATTGAGAGAAAATTATGTAAACTTTACTCCAAGAATAATGAAAGGAAACTACCTTACCAAAGGATTCAAAAACTAACAAAGATCTTCCTATATGTTAGTGGTCAACGGTTAAAATAAACGGTAGAAGGGTATAAGAGTAGTTTAAAGGGAGAACGACATTTCCCACCCAAGGTTTGATGAAACGACACTTTCCCACCCATCAAGTTTCAAAATGATACTTTCTCACCCTTTGTTAGGTTCTATTAGTGCTTTTAGTTAATATTTGATTAAAAAGACGAAAATACCCTTAAATAGTTTATTTCTTAATTAGTTTATTATAAATTAAAATTAGTTAATTCAAAGTCTTTATTTGATTATTTATTAGTCCAAGTATAAAGATACATTTTTTTTTATTTAATTAATTAGGAATATTGATTTTTTATGTTAATTAGTAAAAATGAAAAACATTATAAATAATAGTGATGTGATATTGATGACATTATAAATAAATACATTATTAAGATTATTTAACTTTAAATAATTTTATAGCATTACTCCTAACTTTTTAAGTGAGGTTAACTATTTTTTTTTTTTTTTGAATTTTTAATATTTGACTTTTTGGCTAATTAAAAAATAATAAAAAATTTATAAAGTAAAATATTTAAAGGTATTTTTGTTTTCTCAGTAAATTATTACAGAAAGCATAACAAAACCTAACGAAGGATAGGAAAATGTCATTTTGAAACTTGATGGATGGGAAAGTGTCGTTTCGCCAAACCTTGGATGGGAACATGTCGTTCTCCCTATTTTAAACTTTTGTTTTTTGAAAATCTAAAATCACCCTCTTATTAATCCTAAATACCAACCTTGTAGATTTAATAAACCCAAATCACTCTTCCTTTTAAAAAGAAAAGAGAAAACAATGACGGGTCTAATCACTAGACAAGGTTGCAACCAAGCTATGTCATGCGTGATTGGCCAGGTTGCATGGCCACTCCACATTATGACTAGCTTCCTTTCATCAACCATACAAACTCCGATAACCATTTTCTCCCTTTGATTTGAATGAAATTAAAAGGTAGAAAACCGGTTATCAAAATTACAAACACCTGCTACTCTTTCCACTCAACCCCTCTCACATTCCTGCACTTTCTCCCTCATTCCGATGGATTTCGAGTGCCTAAAATCACCACGAAGCCTCCATTGGCCTCACCGGCATCTCCCCACCAAAAACCCCGACACCCCGGACCTTGATTGCTCATCGATCACCGTCAGTCACCCTACGATTTCACGATTTTAATTTTTCCGGTAGTTCTCGAAGTCAAAAATCACCCTAGACCCCTCCATTTGCCTCGCCTGCATCTCCCCACCAAAACCCCTATTATCCCAAAGTTCAATTAGTCGTCGATCGTCACCTGTCTACCGAGGTGTTTTTGTTGGATTTCAAACCTAAAGGAACTGAAGTGTATTTATCAGGGGTGTGTTTGCTAGATTTTAAACCTACGGGATGGACTCAAACCGATTAGACTGGTCAAACTGTGACCCGATCCCCTAGCTGGGTTGTCACACAGACGGGGTTCCTAATCATTGTACTACAATATAAATCCCTCGTATATATTATTTTTTAGTCAAGTTAATTTTCAAATTAAAAAGAGAAAATATAATTGTGAACTTTGGAATGTGGAAGACGAACTGTTGAATTCCTGCTGCCTATTTTTATTTTATACCAAAGTTGATTTACTAATTTACCCATCCTGCCCGGGATCGGGGTTTGAAGAAGACGAGGGGACCTGGCTGTCTTTTCCATTTTTTTTTTTTTTATAAAAAACGTAAATGGTAAATCCCTAAAAATAGAAAACTACCCAAATCAATTCTAAATCCCTAAGCTTATCTTCACCACCGCCAGCGCCTACCATCTTATCACACTCTCAGCGGTGATCGTGACTCATTAGGCTGCTCTTTGTGGCCGCCGTTCTCGTGAATCACCATCTTCGCATGCGTTACCGGCGGTGAAAACCGTGTATAAATCTTCACTTTTAGTCTTTGTTTTGATTAATTTACATGGGGAAGATATCTTAGTTTTAGTCTAAGCTTATGATTTGTCTCTGATTTTATTTTAGCTTATATGGAAACGATGTATAGTTGCTTGTGAAATTTTCTAACTGAAATGAAAGAAATTGTTGTAGATCATTTGAATATATGTATACTGTTAAATTTGCAGAGGACGTAGTTGTTCATAGACTTACATTTTAACTTCTTTCTGGCTCAAGTGATTGAGTTTTGCAGTTTCCATTCATAGCATGAGACAAGAAGGATTGTCATACCCTGTGTTTTAATAGTGTTACGCTATTGTAAACGATTAGTTGTTTATGCTTAACTATTTTGTATTTTATGTGACTAATATCGTAGCTTCAAAGGTCTGGTTGGTCAAAAGTGTAGAAAAGCTAGTATAAGAAAAGTGTTAGAACTATTTTCAGCCAGTCTAGTCTTCGGAAATCTTGTTTTGTAGTATCCAAGTCTCTCCAGTCAACTGCACTCCCATCGACAGGGCCAAACATTTGCTTATAAAACTTCCCTCGCAATAATCAACCAATTAAACCAATGCCTCTTTAGTCTCCTCCCCACCTGAACTAAACTAAACAAACAAAACAAACTTCTTAAAATTCTCTTTTACCCCCCCTGAAATGAACAACCATATTCATGAGACCACCACCTTTTTGCTCTTTCTCTTTTTTTTTTTTTTTAATTTATTATTATACCCTATGGCGTTCTCGCAACAGTCTTCATAGCAAACCATCGCCATGATAAAACCATCTCAACTTCTAAACAATTCAGACTTAGGATGGGATGTTACAAAGCAGCCGAACCCTTGTCTGTGGAAGGGAGTTAAATGCAGTGTTGGTTTCTTAATAACTCAGCTTTCTTTATCTGGGTTTGGTCTCTCTGACTCTTGAGTTTTTGTCTGTTGTTTGTAATATTAGTTCTCTGCAATGGCTAGATGTTTCCGAAAACCAGTTGAGCTCAATCCCCCATGAATTCATCAGAAATTGGGGTAGGATTGGTGTGCTCGAGTTGTTAAATTTTAGCAAGAATTGGTTGGATGGTTCTTAATTAACCCATTTAATAATAATAATAATAATAATAATAATAATAATAAAATACTCTTATAAAATTATCAAAACCCCTTACATTAGTTAAACAAAAGCAATGAAAGTTGGTTATTACAATAAAGAGTTATTTATAATGTCGAAATTTCTCATGTGTCGACCACAAGTCAGAGACCAGCTTTTTACTATAGGTTCTGTGAAGTTAGCGACTTGATATTCACCTTCGATTGACACATTAAAATTTTCAAGACATTTACACTATAGATTAACTATTTATAACATTACTCGTTAGAAGTCTAAAACTAAAACATTTTTTGTAATAACGACTAACGAGAACATTCAAAACCAAGAGTCGATTCGCATTCGCAAGCGCCAAATTGGATTAGCAGCATTTTAGCTTGTTGAGGCTTGTCCACTTAATCTTCACATCAAAACTGGATAGATATAGAAGCCCATTTCAACTTGGGCTAACCAGTATTTGTACATACAGGTTACATTTAAGCCTGAAGCCCCTGGTGATTTTGGTCCCAACCAACAGTATAGGTTTGCTTTTACCCTTATGTCTGTGTGTAACTACGTGGTTTAAGTAAGGGATAAAGTGGCAGGGACAAGTTCAAGGTTCCGTATGGTTGAAAACAAAACAAGAAGACACATAACGTCTTTCTCTCTTTGTTCAATATTTTCTTTGTATTGTCCAGCAAAACTAACAAGACCCTTGTTCTTTACTTGATAAAAGTCAGGGTGTGTGGTTGTTTGTTAGTTCAAAAGTATGGCTGGTCAAAAGTCCAAAAAATTAAGTATAAGAAAAGTAATACAGCTTCTGTTAGTCAAGTCTTTTGAACTCTGTTTCGTAGTATCAAAGTCTCTCCAGTCTAAAAATTCCACTCCCAACAAAATTTTTGAAAAATTTCCCACATAAGAATCAACCAAACCAATACTTATTTGTCTCCTCCTCACTTGAAACTAAACTAACTCAGCAAAATTAAACAACTATTCATATTCTCTTCTGGCTCATCAGCTCAAATGAGGCACCATATGCATGGCACCACAACCTCTCTCTTCTTTTGTTTCTTCATTTTACTACACCCTTTAGCATTCTCTCAACTACCATCAGACCAAACAACCACCATGATCACTCTCTCTCAGCAACTTAACAATTCAGCTTTAGGATGGGATGTTGCAAAACAGCCAAACATGGCACCACAACCTCTCTCTTCTTTTGTTTCTTCATTTTACTACACCCTTTAGCATTCTCTCAACTACCATCAGACCAAACAACCACCATGATCACTCTCTCTCAGCAACTTAACAATTCAGCTTTAGGATGGGATGTTGCAAAACAGCCAAACCCATGTTTGTGGAAGGGAGTTACTTGCAGTAAGAGTTCCTTGATAACGCAACTTTCGTTATCTGGGTTTGCACTCTCTACATATAATTTGCCTGTTGTTTGTGAGATTAGTTCTTTGTATTCACTTGATCTTTCCAACAACGCTTTGAGCTCAATTTCTGAGTTCATCAAAGACTGTGGAGGGATTCATGGGCTAAAGTCATTGAATTTGAGCAAGAATTGGTTGTCTGGTAATTTAACTAGCTTTTATAGTTTTGTTGGATTAGAGTTCTTGGATTTATCTTACAACAGCAGACTGACGGAGACATTAGTTTACTGTTGTATGAATTAGTTAATCTTAAAAGTTTGAATCTTAGTCACACTTGTTTTGAAGGTTCTATTCCTAGCCACCTTGGAAAATCTAAGGCTTTAGAGCAACTTGTGCTTTCTGAGAATAATTTCAGTGGTGAAATACCTGAACAAATTGCAGATTATGGGAACTTGACCTTGATCGACTTTAGTGTCAATAATCTTTCGGGGTCTATTCCTCATAGAATTGGAGAACTTGCAAACTTGGAAGTTCTAATCCTCTCTGAGAATAATTTAAATGGTGGAATTCCAGCAAACCTTTCCAGTATATCAACCCTGTCGCGTTTTGCAGCCAATCATAACAATTTTAGTGGTTCAATTCCTGGTGGACTCACAAGATATGTGAAGAATTTAGATCTTAGTTACAATAAGTTGACAGGGTCTATTCTAGAAGACCTTTTGTCATTTACAAATTTGCAGACCGTGGATTTGTCTTATAATTTGCTAGAGGGTTCAATACCTGATAAAATGTCTCCAAGCTTGGTTAGGTTGAGATTAGGAAGCAATTCACTCAATGGTGTGATCCCTTCGGCGAATTTTGCAACTCTGGAAAAATTGACTGGCTTGGAGCTGGACAACAATAGCTTCACTGGAATGATACCTCCAGAATTGGGTGATTGCCAAACTTTGACGCTGTTAAACTTGGCTCAGAATAAACTGAATGGTTCATTGCCGGCACAATTGGGTAATCTCAAAAGTCTTCAAGTTATGAAGCTTCAACTCAACAACCTGAGTGGAGACATCCCTGTTCAGTTTTCCCTGCTAAAGAATTTGTCTCAATTAAACATTAGCTGGAATTCGCTGACTGGTTTAATACCTTCTTCCTTTTCCAACTTGCAAGAGCTTACAAACTTGAACTTACAACACAACTATCTCAGTGGTTCCATACCTGACTCAATCAGGAACATGAATTCTTTGATAGAACTCCAACTTGGAGAAAATCAGCTAAGAGGCCGAATTCCATCGTTGCCAGTGAAATTGCAGATTGCTTTGAATCTGAGCAGCAATCTCTTTGAAGGATCTATCCCACACAGCCTTTCTAGCCTGACTGGATTGGAAGTTTTAGATCTCTCAAACAACAAATTCTCTGGTAAGATTCCTGTTTTTTTTACTCAAATGCCAACCCTGACGCAGTTAATTCTTTCTAATAATCAGTTGTCAGGAATTGTTCCGAAGTTTACCGTCTTTGTTTCGGTCAATATAAGTGGAAATCCGAACCTCATACCTGCAACAGCACCAAACACTTTCCCGGAACTGGCAAAGAAAAATGCCAGTTGCTGTTTCAATAATTACTGCCCTTGCTGCTGGTGTCCTTGCCGCTAGGGTAATCACATTCATTGCTCTATCAATTCCAAGATGTTTCTACCTTTCTTGGATCATCCGAAGCAATTTTCTGACGGAAAATGAAATCCACAAATCAAATATTTCCTTCACCAAAGCCATGGAAACAATAGCTAATCCATTGAACATTGTCCTGAAAACTAAGTTCTCAACCTATTACAAATCCATCATGCCATCCGGAAAGAGCTACTTCATTAAGAAGCTGAACCGGAGTGATAAGATATTCCAGAATGAGAAATTCGAGCAAGAGCTAGAGATCATAGGGAAGCTGAACCATTCAAATGTCATGACTCCTTTGGCTTATGCATTGACTAAGGACAGTGCTTATCTATTTTATGAATATGCCCAAACATGCACCCTTTTCGACATTCTTCACAGTAGCAATGGAAGTAGTATGGATTGGGAAAGCCGTTACAGTGTAGCAGTAGGATTAGCCCAGGGTCTTGCTTTTTTGAATGGATGCACCTCTGGTCCAATTCTCCTCCTTGATCTTTCAAGTAAAAACATTATGCTTAAGTCACTGAAAGAGCCACAACTTGGAGACATTGAACTCTGCAAAGTGATTGACCCCTCAAAGAGGACTGGCAGTCTTTCCACGGTTACTGGTTCTGTCGGTTATATTCCTCCAGGTAAACTCTCTCTCTTGCTTTTATAGCTAAAGAATTGCACAAACCAGGTATAGATTTTACATTTACGAAAATTCTTAGGCACATTGGCTATCAAATACATTTGTTACGCATATACATTTGATGCATAATTTAGCACATAACCTACGATTTAGCAATTCCTAAACCCGTCTCAAATCTGAAAAAAGGTAAAATAGGCATATTAGCATCACCAGTTCAGGATACTTACCATTGGATCTCATTACTCATGATCTTTTCATCATTCATTAATCTGCAATCAGATAGATTCCTAATTTTCTGTTTTAGCTTTCTAAGGTCTGTATATGAGATAATTGCAAAGTATGCCTACACGATGAGAGAAGCAGCGGTTGGGAACGTTTACAGCTTCAGAGTTATTCTCCTAGAGTTGCTGACAAGAAGACCTCCAATTAGCGAGGGTACTGAGTTAGCCAAGTTGGTGTTACACAACTGGGAACATGAAGATAAAAGGGATGAGATATTTGATGTTAATATCTACGCAATTTCACTTGCTATCAAAAACCAGATGCTTGCAGTCCTTGAGGTTGCTATTGCTTGTGTTAGTGTCTTACCAGAAGGAAGGCCAAAGATGAATGTTGTGCTACAGATGCTACAAAATGCGAACACATTAACATAAACCCAACTTTGCCTACTGAACATTAATTGAATCAGTTTTAGAAGCATATTGTAGAACTTTTCATTGTAGCTTTGTATTTTGTGCAAGAGTCTTCTTGTAGAAAAGGTTATATATTTATGAATCTCCCTTTTTTGATTGTTCTGATTGTCTTAATTTCGTCTCAATTTATTTCCCTATTGTCCATCCTCAAATAATAATAATAATAAAGAAAAAGTTAATTATCTGATAACGCATTATAACGTATAAATTAACACAATCAAAACTCTCAAACAAACAACATAAACACAATGCAGCATTGACAGCAAAGCCTTGGCTCAACAGAATCTTGATCAATGAAACTCACTCAAAATCTTCATTCTTATATATAGGATGGACTCCAACCCCTTTCACTCGGCAATTTGATGATGAAATTTGGAAATTGGGACTATTAAATCATTTGATTTTCTCATCAGGGAAATAAAGTAGCCAAAGATGATCTGACTTAGGCACGCGCAAGCCAACTTCATAATCAACCTCTACAACATAACCGTTCTTCCTTGGATCGTTATCGAACACATCACAGACAGCAACATTTATGCCAGAACGACCACCAATATTAGCAAAAGACATATTATTGTCAAAAAATCTAGAGCACATAACATATCCCACCAAGTACTTGCTATTATTATTGTTCAAATCTGGCGGCTTTTCTATTTTTATTAAATTACCGTCACTCTTATGCTTGAACCACTCTGGAACTTCACTTCCTGGAACAACCATGCTAAATCTATTACTTTGATTTGCCTGTACCCAAAATAAAACAAAGCTCCTGTGAGATAGGAAAAAATAGACATGTTGCATAATGTAAATACAAGGAAATGGCAGAAAGGAAATGTAATAATAATAGTAATAATAAAAGCATAATCATGACCATATATATATGTAAATAAAATTAGACAGATAATACAAGATCTTTAAAAGTTTGGGAAACGTCTTATAGAAAGAGAATCTAATTCGAAAAAGAGAGAGAAAGTGACATGCCTTGAGGTGTTCCTTCATAATTGAAAATGCCTCACCACCACCATTGAGTTTCAAGAAACAGTGACATGAAATTTCTGACAAATTCGAATTGCATAATCTTAATGCATTAGATAATCTTTCCAGGGAAATGCAACTGTTTACTTTAAGTTTGCGAACATCGGAAGGAAGTTTTGGCAGAATTTGAAGCCTCGCGCAATAGTTCAACCCAAGAACTCTAAGGTTAGAAAGACGATTGATGCTAGCAGGTAAAGAAACAAAATTGTTTTGGCTTAGATCTAAAACCATCAATGAGATGAAGCTTCCAAGCAAATCACTGGTTATTGCTCCTTCCCCAAGATTACAATCACTAAGATCCAACTTTGTAAGATAACACAAATTAGATGGCGAAGAAGACAATATCAAAGTCATGGGATTTGAACTTTTCTTAAAAAATGATTTTGATGGTGATCCTTTGCATCCCCAAAATTCTAATTCTGAAAGATTCTTCATAGAAAAAAGGGATGACACTTGTCTTATGGCAGTTTTATGTAATCTGAGAATACGCAAAGTTTCTATTTGCCCCAAAGTATCTGGCACACTTTCAAGTTTGGAGCAATCAGAGAGATTGAGAATATAAAGAGATTCCAAACCATTTACTGTATTTGGGAGACTCACAAGTTCAAAGCAATGACTGAGGACTAGAAATTGAAGAGATTTCAAGCCATCTATAGTACTCGGAAGACTCACAAGTCTCGAACAATAAGAGAGAGACAAGGTTGAAAGAGATTTCAAGCCATTTATAGTGCTTGGAAGACTTGAAAGATTTTTGCATCTTTCCAATTTCAAGTATACAAGTCCAGATAGAAGCTCAACAGACACAGGCAATTCTTCAATGGCAGTTTCATTTAAAGAAAGCTCGAAGAGGCACTCCATACTTCCTATAATCTCTGGAAACCTCTCCAATTTTGAGCAACCAGAAAGCACAAGACTTTCAAGAGATTCCATATGAATCTTGTTGAGTTTTGAGACTTGAACAATGTCCCAAATCCATCCGTTTAATCTTTTTATGAGCTAGTAAAGATGGGTGAATCTCACACAATCTTGAACATCCTCTGAGAATCAAATCTTCAACATTTGGGATCTCTGTGAGGTCTGGTGTTTTGATCAGGCTCTTGCAGTTTATGAAACTCATAGATTTCAACATGTATAAAGGCTGTTAAAATTGAAGGGAAAAAAAAAACGCATTTCTTAAGTTAATTACCACATTAATTAAATGACGAATGCATAAAGATATTCAATAATTATTAACTAAAAAAAGAAGTGTAAGTGAATTATCTTACTTTGTTCCCCTTCCATAGTTGTCTGATGTGGCTACCGTCCATTTTAAGTTCAACAAGTATATTCAATTGAAGATTTGATGGCAATGATTTTAAAGGGTATCCATGCCAATCGAGTAATCTTAACTCGTTGGAAAGATACTCAAGACCTTCAGGAAGTTGTACTCTATGAATCTTGAGTAATCTTAGGTTGACCATCTTTGAAAAGGCTTTAGCACTTGCAGTACTTGCACTTACATTGAACTTTTTTCCAAGTATTATGGCTTCAACTAGCTCAATCCCCTAAAAAATTGAGATAAAAAATATAAGTGACAAACAAAATTGGAGACAAAGATAAAAGAACATATACATATAGATATAATTGGTTAAAAATTGAAGGAAAAAAACAAAAAAATCTTTCCCACCAGGTGTATACCTTGTTCTTTGTTAGCACATGACGAATGTCCGCTTCATCCCATAATCTACTGCGTTTTCCAGACTCTTCTATGGATTCTCTCTTAACAATTTGTTTACCCATTTCTTGTAACAAATCATGCATCCATAGTTCATTGAAATTTGAAATAGTTATAAGAGATTTTTCAAGGAGAACACTTAATCCAATAGTTGGGTTAAAACCACAACCATCCAAAATTCTTGTTACATATTCTCTCTTCTCTCCTTTAAAAAAACATGCAACATCAATAAATATTTTCTTCTCCGTTTCTTGCAAACCATCAAAACTTATTTGAAGTATATCTAAAACCTCCTTATTAGAATCTCTTTTGAGTCTTTTTAGTGCGTCAATCCATTCATCTACAGGTCTACCAAACAAAAATGAACCCAAAACTTTGAGAGCTAATGGAAGACCACCAGCATACCTTACAACATGTGGGGACAACTCCAAATAGTCTTCTGAAGGCTGTTGGTTTTCAAAGGCTTTCGAGATAAGGAGTTCAAGAGCTTCATCACAATTCAGTTCTTTAGCTTCTTAAACTTCATCAACCTTGTGAGTCATCAACAAATGTTTATCTCTTGTTGTTATTATGATCCTACTTCCTAAACCAAACCATTCACGTTTTCCAACTAAATTGTTTAGTTGGTCAATATGATCCACATCATCTACAACAACAAGAACTTTTTTGTGACACAACTTTCTCATTATCTCATTGATTCCATCATACTCATCGCATATGTTATTATCTCTTCCCCTTAGAATTTTCAAAAGAAGCTGCCTTTGTAAAGTAACCAGGCCACTTTTTCTTGAAATTTCCCTGACATTGGCAAGAAAAGCACTCCCTTCAAATTGATATGAAAACAAGTCATGAAAAACTTGTACAATTGTCGTCTTGTCTATCCCTCCCATTCCACATATCCCTATCATGCGAATATCGTTAGACCCTGTACCTATCAACAACTTAAATTCCTCAAGGCGAGAATTTATTCCTACTAGGCCCTCAGAAGTCATCAATGTTGTTAAACTTAATTTAATTGATATTTCTTTGACAATATCTTGTATGAGCTCTGATTCAGCTCTGCAAATGAAAAAGAACAATTAATAGTAGTGATCAATTTATGACAAAAAATTACTATATAAGTTTACAAGTACCAAGAATTCTTCTGTTTTCTTTATATAGTTTAATCTGAATTTTAGTCTTTATCATATTATACACGGTCAGCTATTTAATGTAGGACATCTCTTAAAACTTAGAATTCAGTAAATATAAGGACATGATTGGTAGTTAATAAAAGAGATTTTTTAAAGAATAATCAAGCAATCATCATAGTCTAATGAAATTATTGATCTTTTAATAATTGGATACTTACAGTAAAAAACATTATGACACATTCATAACATGTAAAAGAAAAACAATTACCTGTTTTCCACATCCCATCCAGAGAGATTGGCAGCCTCTATTAAAGCATTCCTCCATATTTGAATATTTTGTTTATTCTCCTGAAAAGTTTCTTCGTGCTTAGCAAAAGCTTCCTCAAACGTTCCTGTTTGTTTTCTTACCATGGATGGATCAACATCATAAAAAATAGGAAAAACATTTTGTCCCATTGTATTCTTACATTCAACAATCTTAGCAATTTCATACAAGCACCAAGTGGAATTAGCATAGTTTCTTGAGAAGACGATAATTGAAAATCTTGATTCTTCAATTGCTCGAAGGAGCTCCAAAGAAATGGGTTTTCCTCTGTCAAGTTCTTCAGCATCTCTAAAAACATTAACTCCTTCTCGAGTCAAAGCTGCATATAGATGATCTGTGAAATTCTTCCGAATATCTTCTCCTCTAAAGCTTATAAAGACATCATACTTCCAATTAGAAGAACAAATATGAGTATCTGAAGAAGAAACTCTTTGGATACTCATGGAAGCAATACGATTGATTGTTCCAAGCTAATTTTTGCCAAGTTACACGTGTCGTCTATGCCTATGTAAGACCCTGATAGAATTGAAAAATATAAGTAACCAATTTCTTCTTGACCATTTATATATTTTTTAGCGGAATATCATTTTTTAAACAAAAATACATGCATACCATATAATTTTCAACTCTGATATTGTATAAAAGCTACTAAGAAATTAAACTTATATGAATACATTATGTTAGCAAGAAATTAAGGATTGAAATTAAAAGCATATATGCTAAATAAAAAAACCTAACTATATTCTTCTAATTATTCTATTCAACTCTCGAAAATCCTATTTCAGGTGCATAGTCATGCATATACTTAAAAAATTAAAATAAAAATAGAACAAACTTACAGAATTTTGATGAATGAACTTTGACGTAAAGAGCTTCAAAGAAAGCTAATTGGCTGTGGTTTGATGGGAAGGCACAGAGAACTTTTCTCTGTTATATAAAAAGATGAACTCAACAAATTTCTCCTCTTTTCTCTCTTCACAAACTTTACAAAGAGAAAATATACCCCGCAATTCTAACTGACGTTAAATGGAGTAAGGGCAAAACAGGTAGTTCACATACACACATTCTATTTATAAGAAAATAAATATTAATTAAAACCTAAAAGAAAAGCCTAACCCTCAAAACCTTGACTTTCCAATTTCCACCGTTTAAAGGCGACATCACGGCGGAGAAAGCGAGTCCCCTCCGAAACCTCACGCACCACTTTCATGTTTCTCTCTTCATAGTAAACCGATCCGGTGGTGTTCGCTGCTGCTCGGGGTTGGTGCTCCCAACTTGGGTTGATTTTTACTTTTTCGTTTTGATTTGATTGGTTCTTCCTTCAAACTACCGCACATCTCTTTCTTTCTTTCTTTTTTTCCACCTAGCTGACCATGGGTTCAATTGGTGATGGCGTTCATTCTGTTGGTGCTGTATGAGTTCTTTTGTTGGTGAAAAATCTTGTTTGTGCCATATAAATTGGTTGTGAAGATTGGTTTCAGAAATTCTGTAATGGTGGTGGCCGCGCTCTGTATGTCACGGCGGTGGTGGCCTTGCAATTCGTGTAACAATTGGACTTGGATTTTCATGGAGGCGAAAATTTGCGTTTGGCTTATTCTTCAAATAATGTTTGGCAAATTATTCCAGAAATATTACCCTATTTTTTTAATTACTTTTAAACTCTATAAGGTTATTAATTTTATTAAATACCCCTTAAAAAAATTTAAAAATTAACAAAAATACCCCTGTAACTCATACTTGCCAGATTCCGGTAACCACCATCGGTGGTAGTCGAAATCTGCCACAACGATGAATTACTGAATGAAACTGGCTGGTAATTCAACGATCTGGCATTTTGAAGCCAGATCCACAGTGAATCTGGCCAGAAAAAGCTAGATCTGGCTGTCAGTGGCGGCCAAAGAAATGGCCATCGTTGACCGACAACGATGGCCATATCTTTGACAGATTTGGTAGGAAAAGGTCATAGCGACGCCATACCAGCCAGATCTGGTCGGTATGTGTGGTTATGCAATTTTCCGGTCAGATTTCAGCTGTGGTGGCCAGAATCTGACACTGCAAGTGGTGGGGGTCTTTTGTCATTTTACGTATTTTTATATATTGGGGTATTTATTAAATTAGCAAACTTAGGGGGTTTTTTAAAAATTTTAAATTTTACCTCGTAATACTCCCATATTCAATTATCTAATATTATCCCCAAAATTCTATCCAAAATAATAAACCAAACGCACCCAGCTGCCCGACCATCCCAAGTTTTGATTTAAGAAAATGGCCTTGAAAATGTTTTTCATTTTTTTTTAATTTAGAGAAGATGACGTGGCATAGTTAGGATTAATTAAACACTTAAAATGGGTTAAAATGAAAAGATTAAAACATATGTGGGTCGAATCATAAATAATGAAATTTTTTAAAATTTGAAATTTCTCAAAACAAGCCCCACCTATCCACCTCGCTTAATCGAAATTCATTAGGGCAAAAAGCAATTTCTTAAACCAAAGGGAGACTGTGATTTTTTCTAATCGAACTCGCAAATTTGCACACTAAAATCAATTTCTTGAACCCTAAACCGAATATAGTCACAATTTTCGATAGATTTCTTGAACCCTAAAATCGATTTCCTTAACCCTAAATAGAATCTGTGCGATTTCTGGCGATACAGTCCACATTTCCGATCGAAACTGCAAACTTTGACACCAAATTCAATCCAAAACCATGGCTGACACTTACAATGAGGAGGAAAACCCAACGCCACTTCGAATCCTAGTAGATTCCGGTGGCGCAAGCAGTTCAATGGCTACTCCGGTGGATCATCCGATCAGTGAAGGTGGTCCACACGCAGAGGAGACGCCGGTGGCACAAGAACAGAGGGAAGAATCGGCAAACGGTTATGAAGACGAGGAGTCAGGCGAGAATTTAGGCCAGGAGGAGGAGTCCGGCAAGAATTCAGGCCAGGAGGAGTCGTCCAAGAATTCAGGCGACGAAGAGGAGGCTGGCGAAGAAAGGGTACGTTGTTTTGGGAATATTGCTTGTACTGTCGCTTAAGCGATCATTTGTATTGCTTAAGCGATTAATCTATTTTACTCATGATTGCACTCATAATCGCTTAAGCGATTGATTCAGTTTACTCTTCGTCGCTTAAGCGATCTTGTCGAGGCAAAATCACAGATATAAGATCGCTTAAGCGATCTTTTGTATCGCTTAAGAGATTCCTTCAGTTTACTCTTGGTCGCTTAAGCGATTTCAGATCGCTTAAGCGATCTTGCACGAGGCAGAGTCAAGATCTCTTAAACGATCTGAAATCGCTTAAGCAACTACAGTGGAAATTTTTTGTTGCTGATATTTTGTTTATTAGTTGTTTTGGTTTATTTTTGTTGCTGACATTTTGTTTATATCGATTGTGTAGATTATGCGGACCGTAAACTATAGAGACTACGAGTTGGAGCTTATAAGTGAGAAGGTACCCTACTTTCCTGCAAGGGTGACGGTGAGGTCGAGTTGGGATGTTTTTGACAGAATAAGGGACATTTTAGCTTGAATGAGGCATGGTGCAAGAGATTTCCGTCGCACTTGTTTTGGTCAGTTTTTAAGAATCGGAACAAATTGGAAAAAAGTCACTTTGGGGGCAGGGAGTGCATTACATGTTGCTGCACTCAGTAAAATGAAATAAAAAAAAAATGTTGTTCGTGGTGGACGGAAAGCCACTGCGTTTTGGGATATGGAGTATGCCTTGGTGACGGGCTTAGGATGCGAGGATGTGCCAGATAAGGCAAAGGCAGAGGCAATAAGGACGAGTCCGTGAGCCAAAAGGTTTCGTAAGAAGGTTTTGCAGGGGGCAAAGTCTATTACAGGACAGGTTTTAGAGGAGGCTACAAACAATTCGGTTTAATGATGGAGAGAAGATAAAAGTGTGCTTGCTATTGTTTTTACATTCAATCTTATTGGCTGGTGACTCAACAAAAGCTGTTGAGAAGGATTGGTTGTCGTTTGCAAGCGACTTGGAGTTCTTTAATTCTTATCCGTGGGGACGGATATCATTTGAAAGAACCATCAACAGCCTGAAAAAACAAGACATGGCATTAAAGCAAGCCCAATGGGCCGAGAAGGAAAAACCAAGCAAGTACAATTTGTTTGGCTTCCCGTGGGCAATGCAGGTAAATATTAATAGCTTTTTGTTATATTTTTTTATAATATATGTGTTTGAATTATGATATGGACTGTTTTTTTACAATGTAGGTTTGGATTTACGAGGTTATCCCTGTCTTTGCTAGGGGGGGGGGGAGGAGCAACAGTTTGGATGTGCAACAGCAATTTCCTAGGATGTTGTGGTGGCATGTCGAGAGGTGTACCCATTGGGACTACAACCAAATAGGCATTAAGATTGAAACGGCTAGGGTAAGATTAAATGATTAAGCTTTTGAATATGCAGTTGCTTTAAAATGTCGCTTCAATCTGATTGATTTTGTTTCTTATTGCAGGGAGTCATCCGTCCCTTTCTCACTGCTACTGGGGATGAAGCGGAAAAGGACTCTGTCATATCTTTCAAAGCACTGGAGGATGAAAGCGATGAACGAATAGACCACCTAATGCGAGGCCTAAAAGGGGTCACGCATGTGACGGCAGTTGTAGGGCCACTGCTTGACAACGTGGTTGATGCCGAGGATGATGAAGCTCCAATCGGCAAGAGGCCCAAGGATGAGAAGGAGAAGAGGGAGGAAGAGGTTCGTATGCCTCAGCAAACCGGTACAACAAGTACCGCTTTGTCAAGACATCGGCGTCGGGAGAATGAGGTGGTTGTAACGCCCCACTTGAGGTACGTAGTAAATTATGTTGTATTGCTTGAATGTTTATTGATTTGTTCTCATTTGAGCTTGCATGTCGTTATTTTCAGCTTGTTGGCCCTTTGTTAGATTGATGAGTTGATTTGGTTAAGTGTTTGCCCTGATTTTGGTTGAGTTTTGGTGAAGTTTGGAATTTCGGTCTTCGCCGGGGCGAGGAATAGCTTTTGCTGCGACGACGTTGGCTTGTAATGGCAGTGTCGGCTCTGTAAGTTTTCGTTGGGGCAACGGAACTGTCTTCGCCGTGGTGACAGTTCGACTGAACAGTTTAGTGAGGTTTCTAGAGGATTCTCCATAGGGTCAAAAGGACCATTCTACCCCTAATTAGCTAGAAAAGTGGGGAGTGAATTGCAAGGAAATTTGATGGAGAATATGTTAGAGTGGGGGTGTGATTGTAATGATTTAAAGGACAAGGATAGAATTTCCAAGGAAGAGCAAGGGCAATATGGGAATGAATGAAGAAAGTTTGAGCTAAAAAGGGGATAAGCTTCATAAACCCTTCATTCATTCTTCTTCCACCGCCATACTCTTTCACCATTTCCTCTCAACTCTTCCTTCAATCTTTTAAGGATCTTTGAAGGCTTTTAGTTGGATCTTGCTAGAGAATTAAT